TCTCTCTCTCTCTCTTTTACAGGACAGGACACAGAGACAGAGAAGGAGTGGATAATGGAAACACAATGAGAGGAGGATGGAGATGGACACGGAGAGGACAAGGGAGATGGACAATGAGGACACGATGGAGATGGACAGAGAGATGACACCGGAGATAGACAAGTAGATGACAATGGAGATGGACATGGATGCAAAGAAAATTAAAAATTGGAAGAACTACCAGCAATTAACAGATGACAACGGAGCCATCCAGCCAGAGCTGGGCAGCTGCATCAACACAAAAAACAGGATTAACAACCCATCTGATGGGTCAACACTGCAACCAGGACTGATGATCTCCCAGGAGGGAGCAGCTCACTGGATCTCTTTTTCTCTTTGCAGGACAGGACAGCAGAGACAGACAAGGAGTGGATAAGAAAAGAGAGACTGACAAGGAGAGGATGGAGGAGATGGACAAGGAGTGGATAATGGAAAAGGACAACGAGAGGATGACAGAGATGGACAGTGAGAGGACGGAGGAGATGGACAACAAAGAGCACAAGGGAGATGGACAAGAAAAGGATGATGGGGATAGATATGGAGAGGACAACAGAGATGGAAAATGATGACATGATGGAGATGGACAAAGAGAGAATGATGGAGATGGACAAGGAGCAAGGGAACCCCAATTCCCAGTCCATCCAGGCCAACGGCCGGGCCTGCTAAGGCGGCCAAGTGGACGTGCCATTGGCCAGAGCTGGGCAGCTGCATCAACAGAGAAGCCAGGATTAACATCCCATCAGCTAGATCAACACTAGAACCAGGATTGCTGGATCAATGTTGGATTGTGGACTGACATCCCGTCTACTGGATCAACACTGCAACAAGGACTGATGATCTCCCAGGAGGGAGCAGCTCACTAGATCTCTCTCTCTCTCTTTTGCAGGACAGGATAAAGGAGATGGACAAGGAGAGGATAAGGGAGACAAAGAATGAGAGGACGGAGGGGATGGACAAGGAAAGGATGATGGAGTTGGACATGGAGAGGACAAGGGAGATGGACAATGAGGACATGATGGAGATGGACAAAGAGAGGGCAACGGAAATACATGAGAAGATGATGATGGAGATGGACATGGAACAGGACATGGAGTCATCCAGCTGAAGCTGGGCAGCTGGATCAACACAGAAACAGGATTAACACCCCATCTGTTGGATCAATACTGGAACCAGGATTGATGATCTCCCAGGAGGGAGCAGCTCACAGGATCTCTCTCTCTCTCTCTCTTTGCAGGAGAAGACAACAGGGACAGACAAGGAGTGGATAACAGAGACAGACAAGAGGATGACGGAGATGGACAAGGAGAGGACAGCAGAGATGGACAAGAAGTGGATAATGGAGACAGACAAGGAGAGGACGATGGAGATTTACAAGGAGATGGCAATGGAGATGGACACGGAGCAGGGGAACCACAACTCCCAACCCATCCTGGGCCAACAGCCGGGCCTGCAGAGGAGGCCAAGTGGACATTCATCGGCCAGAGCTGGGCAGCTGGATCAACACAGAAACCAGGACTGACATCCCATCTTCTGGATCAACACTGGAACCAGGACTGATGTTCTCCCAGGAGGGAGCAGCTCACTGGATCTCTCTCTCTCTCTTTTACAGGACAGGACACAGAGACAGACAAGGAGTGGATAACGGAGATGGACAAGGAGAGGAGGATGGAGAGGGACATGGAGAGGACAAGGGAGACGGACAATGAGGACATGACAGAGATGGACAAAGAGAGGACACAGGAGATAGATGAGAAGATGACAATGGAGATGGGCATGGAACATGACATGGAGCCATCCGGCCAGAGCTGGGCAGCTCCATCAACAAAAAAACCATGATCAACATCCCATTTGAGGGGTGAACACTGGAACCAGGACTGATGTTCTCCCAGGAGGGAGCAGCTCACTGAATCTCTTTCTCTCTCTTTTGCAGGACAGGACACAGAGACAGACAAGGAGTGGATAACGGAGACAGACAAGGAGAGGAGGATGCAGATGGACATGGAGAGGACACCAGAGATGGACAATTAGGACATGATGGAGATGGATAAAAAGAGGACGATGGAGACAGACAAGAAGAGGACAATGGAGATGGACACTGGGGACTGAGGATACAACAAGAAGAGGATGACAAAGACGGATACTGAGAGCACAATGGAGATGGACAACAAGAGGGCGACACAGATGGACATGGATCAGGGGAACCCCAATCCCAGCCTGCCCAGGGCCAATGGCTGGGCCTGCAGAGGAGGCCAAGTGGACATCCCAGAGCGGCACAGATGGATTAACACAAAAACCAGGATTGCCATCCCATCGTCTGGATAGACACTGGAACAAGAACTGATGATCTCCCAGGAGGGAGCAGTTCATTGGATCTCTCTCTCTCTCTATTTGCAGGACAGGACAACGCAGACAAGGAGTGGATAACGGAGATGGACAAGGAGTGGATAACGGAGACAGAAAACAAGAGGACAATGGAGATGGACACGGAGAGGTTGGAAGAGATTGACAACAAGAGGTTGAAGGAGACTGACAAGGAAAGAATGATGGAGATGGACATGAGGAGGACCATGGAGATGGACATGGAGCAGGGGAGCCCCAATCCCAGCCCATCCAGGGCCTCCAGCTGAGCCTGCAGAGGAGGCCATGTGAATGTCTCGTCGGCCAGAGCTGGGCAGCTGGATCAACACAGTAACCAGGAATAATATCCCGTCTTCTGGATTAACACTGGAACCAAGACTGCTGGATTGATGTTGGATTGTGGACTGACATCCCATCTGTTGGATCAACATTGAAACTAGGACTGATGATCTCCCAGGAGGGAGCAGCTCACTGAATCTCTTTCTCTCTCTTTTACAGGACAGGACACAGAGACAGACAAGGAGTGGATAATGGAGACAGACAAGAGGATGAAGGGGACAGACAAGGAAAGGATGATGGAGTTAGACACGGAGAGGATAAGGGAGATGGATAATGAGGACATGATGGAGATGGACAAAGAGAGGACAACGGAGATAGACGAGAAGATGACTGGAGATGGACATGGAACAGAACATGGAGCCATCCAGCCAGAGCTGGGCAGCTGGATCAACACAGAAACCAGGATTAACATCCCATCTGCTGGATCACACTGCAACCAGGACTGATGATCTCCCAGGAGGGAGCAGCTCACTGGATCTCTCTCTCTCTCTTTTGCAGGGCAGGACAACAGAGATGGACAAGGAGTGGATAACGGAGACAGACAAGGAGAGGAGGATGGAGATGGACATGGAGAGGACACCAGAGATGGACAATTAGGACATGATGGAGATGGATAAAAAGAGGACAATGGAGACAGACAAGAAGAGGACAATGGAGATGGACACTGGGGACTGAGGATACAACAAGAAGAGGGTGACAAAGACGGATACTGAGAGCACGATGGAGATGGACAAGAGGGCAACACAGATGGATGAGGAGAAGGGGAACCCCAATCCCAGCCTGCCCAGGGCCAATGGCTGGGCCTGCAGAGGAGGCCAAGTGGACATCCCAGAGCAGCAGAGATGGATTAACACAGAAACCAGGATTAATATCCCATCTGCTGGATCAGTGCAGCAACTGGGATTGCCATCCCATTGTGTGGATAGACACTAGAACAAGAACTGATGATCTCCCAGGAGGCAGCAGTTCATTGGATCTCTCTCTCTCTCTATTTGCAGGACAGGACAACGGAGATGGACAAGGAGAGGATAACGGAGACAGACAACAAGAGGACAGTGGAGATGGACAAGGGAAAGACAATGGAAATGGAGAAGGAGAGGACAGCAGAGATGGACAACGAGAGGATGACAGAGATGGACAAGGAGAAAATGATGGAGACAGACAAGGAATGGACAATGGAGATGAACAAGGAGAGGATGACATAGATGAACAGCAAGAGGATGACAGAGACAGACAAGAAATGGAAGATGGAGATGGACACTGAGAAGACATGTTAATAAAAGATGCTTTTTTTTAATGCTGCTCATCTGTTCCTGGTCCATCTCAGGAGAAAGGCAGGTGTTGGCAGCATAAATAATCATGGAATCACAGAATATCCTGAGGTAGAAGGGAGCCACAAGGATCATCCAAGTCCAACTCCTGGCCCTTCACAGGACACCCCAACAATGCTGCACCCCCTGCCGAGCACCCCCCTGCCAGGGCATCCCCCTGGACACACATCCCCCCAGTTTAGCATCCCCAAAAGCAGCATTCCTCCAGCTGAGCATCCCTCTGCCAGCCAGAGCATCCCCCTGGGGAATCATCCTGCAAGCCAGGCATCCCCCCAGACAAGCATCTCTCCAGCTGGACATCCCTCCAGCTGAACTTCCCTCTGCCAGAGCATCCCCCTGGACACTCATCCCCCCAGCCAGGCATCCCTCTGGCTGAGCATCCCCCCAAACAAGCATCCCTCCGACAGAGCATCCCTCCAGCTGAGCATCCCTTTGCCAGAGCATCCTGCCCTGGCCAAGCATCCCTCAGCTGAGGGCCTGAGCACCTTTCAGGCTGAGCATCCCCCAAACCAGCATCCCTCTGGCTCAGCATCCTTCCGGCCGAGCATCCCCCCGGCCGAGCACCCAGCGCTGGCCGACGGCCAATTTTCCCACAACAAACCCACCGACATCCCAAATTCCCCCCCGCAGCAGCCAGGGTGGATCACCTGCCCATCCCTATTGTCACCCAACAATGGGAAGAGCCCAGTGCCGCTCCCCGGGAGCGCTATTAGCCCAAATATTTGCTTCCCGTCTCCAGGGTGACGGGGTTGCCGTCGCTCAGCCACATCCGTCCCTCCTTTGATCCTTTTCCTCTTGATCTCCAGAGTGCTGGATGGATGATCCTGGTGTCACCCTCTCCTCCGTCCCTCCTCGGGGGGATGCAGGAGCCGGTGGCATCCGCAGTGTCCGGGCGCGGGGATTCCGTGGTGGGGATGAAGGAGCCGGGGCTGGGGATGGTGGAGATGAGGGTTGGGGGATGAAAACAGGACTGGGGGTGATGGGGATGAAGGATGGAGGATGAAGGAAGGGCTGGGGGTGGTGGAGATGGGGGTGAAGGATGAAGGAAGGGTTGCTGGTGATGAAGATGATGGAGGGATGGAGGATGAAGGAAGGAATTGGGGAGATGGTGGTTGTGGCCTTGGGGTTTGTATCAGGTGCTTGAATCTGCAACCACCACCTCCCCATGGCCACCACCACACCCCTATGGCCACCAACATCTCCCCATGGCCACCAC